AATTGGGCGGCCTTGGAGATTCATAAGACACATCTTCCAAACATCATACTATTAGTTTCTCAGCGACGTGACCTAATATTCAGCAAGGTGTCCAGGTTCACAAGCCTACCATGTGATGCGCGCTGTTGCGTGCGGAGCTAAACTGGTAAAAATAAAAGTAGGTAATGCAGGTATTAGTGTAGACCCTCCAGTTGTATATTAAACACTAACTTAAAGTAATTAACAGTTAAAGGCGCAACCCAGGCAGAGGTCGTGCAAACGCTTCTCTTCGGCCTGAAGTATAGACCCCTATGACAATCACAAATGGCGTTCTCGTGCACGGAAACCGACTGATAAGAGCGCTTGGGCCTTGCAAAGTAAGCTGCCTAAACTTTTTTCTCTTATCAGGCTGTTGTCTGGCAATCTCTTATCTGCAGCGCTCTCGCCTCATACTCTCCTCTCCGCGCATAGTCTCTCATTCTCGCAGCACAATCGATTAGGAAGGTGGGTGAGCCCTTAACCTGAGCGTTTTTGACAGACTCTTTTCCTTTTTTTACTGCTGGCCCATTTCCCATCAATACATTCGCATTCGTGTACAAGAGCCACAAAATGTGATCGTGGGGCATGCCTTTGAAGGCGACTGAAAATGGAACGGTGAATAGGCGCCCAATCAATTGGAGGCAGAGTTTACGTTGAAAAAGCGGCTCATCTCAAATTATGTTAAAGGTGGTCAGGGTAAAAGAAAAAAGGAAAAACCATGAGAAACGGCCCGGAACCCGAGAAATGGGACCCCTTTACTGCTCGTTGATTTCCGCATTTCGCGACACTCATCGGGCCCTCGTCAACGCTAACGCTCCCGTGTCGGTGGGCGTATCGCGTCAACTGCGCAAGAGTGAGCCACGCTAGGTCGCCAATGTCAAATCTTTCGCTGTCAGCTGCGTGCCGGTCCGTACCCTTAGGAATCCTACCTGTCCCCCAACTAGGCAATTTTCCTCCTTCGACTTTTATTCTTATCGTGGGATCGTCCTACGAGGTAGGAATCGCCCATGGTGCCAGGATGAAGAAAAACCGTGAGAAACGGCCCAAAAGCCAATAGGTATTTTTCGATGTAAACTGCATGTCGGTCCGCACCCTTAGGAGATCTGCCTGTCTCTCCAATGGTAAGTACCCCTCGCCCTCAAATGACCAGAAATTTTGCAATTGCAGAAACTGACGTGGCATGGGCACGCGTGGCTAAATTCTCGATGAAAAGGTGAGATCACTTGTGCTCAAAGATGTTCTTGAATCGATGCCGTGTTAATGCCATGTCAATTTCTGCAATTGCACAATTTCTGGTCATTCGAAAGGGTATCTCCTTCTTCCACTTTTGTCCTTCTCGTAGGATTCTCCTTTGATAGCATGTTACTGAACTCACGAATGAGGAATGCATCCAACTGCATGAAAAGCACATTCAAGTTACTGAACAACGTCATGACAGCCTTCTAATGATGAAGGGTCTGTTGTCCGGTTAGGGGGCATGTGTATGCCAAAAGCTGCAACTGAGCTTCCTTCTATAATTAGAGCGGCAAGAGCTCCATTAGTCGACTAAGCATTCGAGCGTTCATTTCCTTTTCGTTTTCTATTGCCTGGATTGCTGTCATTCTGACGACTGCCTGCAATTTTGAGCAGAGGTTATAGCCTGAGTCAAGTTTTCTTCATTACAGCAGCCTGACTATTGCGACATACCCTCCCACCCAGCTCCAACGACTCCTGAAATGTTTTGTTATTATCAACTGGCTGAAACCTTCAGCAGATGCAATGAGTTCAGGCACATCTCATTAACAGCATTGCGAACAGTTGTAACAGCATTTCCACCCCCCCCCCCCTCCGTCGGACAACAGACCCTGAACGAGAACGGAAAAGCTGTCACGGAAACAAGGTCGACGTTAGAGCTCAACGAGTTCGTCGACGGATCGTGAAACATCTCAAAATTGTGTGTTAAAAAAAACAGGTTTAACGGTTGTAATTTCCCATTGGCCGATATCCATAAACTTCCATCGTTTTCAAAAAAGTGACATGGTCTCGCGGTTGATTAAGCTTAGAGTAACCAACACAAATGTTTTTCGTGCTTACTGTCGAACCCTAGCGTAAACAACCCCCATGCCTCGGGCATGGTGATGTTTTAGCGGTTGAATGCATTCTCGTGCCGGTGACATCATTGATGATCGTATTTCCACAAACACCAAGCATTTCAAGGAACTCTTGTCGAACATCTAGATCACAAATTTGGTGACTTCTCTTCTCCCTAATCATTCCTTACCAGCTCTTATCTCGCCTTGTCAGCCACCGAATGTGTTCCCGTCCAGTTTCCACTTCATCTCTTGAGTGCAGCACCTTACTATTAGTGCTAGTGGCTCAAAAGCAACTTCTGGCGACAGTTGGTGGGCGCGCTATGAATTTCTGATATACACACATCACACACACACCACACACATCACACCACACCACACCACACCACATCACACCACACACTTAGCTGATCATATATAGTAGGACCAGCTTTGCTCCGCTCGGTATCGCGCGTATCATACGACCTAAGATTCCGCAGGCACTCCAGGTATATTTATCACACATAGCTCTGTAAACTCTCGGCCGTTCTACTGAATTCTGATAATTTAGCGGTGAATAGGGTTATGGTGTTAGCCTCACAATTGAATTGCAACATCATCATAAGTGCGCATCTAATGCTGATCCTTCATTCACAGTGTTCGCAAATCCTAAGCTTTGGCGGTCATAGACCCTAGAGGGGTATCCCACGATGACTTCAGCAATGCTTGTCTTCACACATTGAAGTGGTTCCCAAACCGGGCCACCCAGCGAATTCAACAATACGAGAGCGATATTCCCAGAAAATAGATTTCGACTTTGGTTAAGCTGCTGCTTCCTGGCTGCGAGGTAGCCATCAGATGTTCCGCATGTTGTTGTCGCAGTGGACTCATGACTCATTTCCATTGGTGACTGACCAGGGAAGGCTCTGCTTTTGCCGTCCCAGAGTGAATTCTTTCCAGATGGTCAGGCGTGCTTCTCGCTCATGGTCGGCCGTACCATAAAGTTTCCATCAAAACTCATTCTGCAGCAGTCCTTGCCATACTGGCGGCGTGTGCTGGTGCATCGGCTGCGCTCAGGTACCTTCTGCAATACCCTGGTAGCAACGTACGGAGGCACTCCCAATTCAGGATACAAGGGGCACTCATCAAAAATGACCGCAGGTCCAGTATGAGGTTGAAGTTCATAGTTCGTTTCGTCTTTGCCGTTGGGATTGGACCACCAGCTCAGTAGCAGAAGCTGGGCCAAACACAGCGCTGGTCTTCTCTCTTAACTTGCTACAGAGTTCATTTGAGGATCGTAAAACATAATCATTCATTAAAGTCACTGACCTGTTTTTATTCCTAGTTGATTAACCCATTATGGGCTTGCGTGTCCGAAATTATGCTGTTAAGGCGCTTGAAACATACTTCAACATAAACGTATTACGCAATGAAACGGTCTTAGACGGAAGGAATTTGAAATTGAATAGAAATGCGACAGGAATTATGAGATAATCCAATACAATGTCCAGATACCACCCCGTATAAGACTTGTAATTATGAATGCTCGAGTGTCAATGTCAGCTGCTCAACGGAAAGGGGACTTGTGAGTTCAAGGAGCCCTGACAGCCCTTATTGATTTCTATCGACCTATTTCACCCACAATGTCCCGGTACCACCTCACATAATGTAAGTATGAACGCTCTAGCGTCAACGCGAACGCTTAAGTCCAATTTAATGAAAAGAAAAAATCGAGAAGGATTAGGAGAAAAATTATAACGAAAGTGAAAGGAAACAAAGGAAAGTAATCGACGGAGACACAGGCGCGGGAAGCAGTAAACGACTAAAACCTCGCTCGAATTTGTCGCGCGGTTTCCCGCACGCGGCAAGCCGCGTGTACGACGTCGCGCGGTGACTGCCCGCAGGCCTAGTCCTTGGCTCTTGCCTTACAGCAAAACCCGCGAAATGAATTCGATCCTTACTGATTGGCTGTTTTTATACTGTATTGAAAGTGGTATCACAATCACGATATCTTTCGCCTCTAGTCGACCATTTTGCGGACGGACAGATAGACGTGCAAACACGCACACAAACAAATCGACACACCGCACTTCTGGTTTATGTAATGAAGTGATTATAGCGAAACCTGCTATGGATTTCGGAATGTGTAAATATGTATTGTTCTTTAGAGCACCGGACGTCTCAAAATAACAGCCAGCAAAAACTTACAAGCAACAAATCTCGCTTCCCGGTCATTGCAGACTGACGCTAGACGGCCGTTTAGATTATAGCATGCATCTATAGCTTTCTCATATTCAGCAGGTTTGCAAAACTTCTGCAAACGTTTGACTACATAGTTCTGTCATGACCTCTGGTCATGATTCGTTACAGTGCCACTTTTACAAAAGATCCCGTAACGCTCAATCGATCATACCCTGTGTTTGAAACTACCGCCAACCATGCCGGTGATTCATCCCGGCAAGTCATTCAAGCGAACCGCCCATTTTCTCCTGTATATATACCACCTACTTTTGGCGGTATAAATAACGCAGGCTGAGACTCTCGGGGAGTCTTCGCCTTTAGTAGCCTCCCGGACTCTTCACTCCAATAAGCGACGAACGTCGCCGCTCAAAGGACGACAACCTAAGCCCAGGCGACTCCGGTCGCCCAGCAAACAACCAAATGAGGACGCACAAGCCAGTAAAATCCAAGCGTACTGCTAACAATACCAAGGTTCAAAGCAAGACAAGCAAGACACGGCCGGCGGACCCGCCGATCCCAGTACCCGGTAATCAAGAAGGCAAGAGGGTAATCAATTCACAAGTCACTGCCATGGTGTTTCAAATTGTTAAGTAGTCATATCGTGATTTCATTCAGCTGATGTCGTTCAGTAAATAATTAAGTATAAGATTCGTGTTGTCGAGAGCGTTCAACCTCTCAACCGTCGAAACATGGTGCATCGGCCGGGAATCGAACCCGGGCTGCTTGGGTGAAACCCACGAATCCTACCCACTAGACCACATGTCGTCCTTTGAGCAGCGACGTTCGTTGCTTATTCGAGTGAAGAGTCCCGGAGGCCACTGGAGGTGAAGACTCCCCGAGCCTCAGCTTTTATTTATACCTCTAAAAAGTAGGTGGTACATATACAGGAGGAAATGGGCGGTCCGCTGGAATGGCTTGCTGGAATGGATCGCCGGCAGTTGGCGGTACTTTCAAACACAGGGCATGAAGCACCTGATCGATTGAGCGTTACGGGACCTTTTGCGAAAGTGGCACTGTGGCGAATCATGACTAGAGGTCATGACGAGTTCAATATCATGAATTATTCGAAATGGCCTTATCGCAATATACGGTATCCTCTAAGGCTAGGCCTAGGATGGCATGAATGTCGATGAGAATGAGAATGGCTGACACAGCCTGGAGTCTCTCCACCAGGGTGAATATCGGTCGAGGAATTCCTCGACGGGGGGGGGGCGTATTTGCCTCTGTGGAAGGCGGAGGGGGGTCGTAATTGTCGGACTCGGTATCGAACGATTTGTGACATCCAATCAAACGTATCGAACGTTTAGGGGAATTGGGCGGGGGTTGATTTTGGCATAGGATTCATTATTTGCAGATCCCATCGCAATGCTCTTCGGCACTCCTCGTCGTTGTGTATCTGATCATCTCAGAAGGAGTGAAGTAAAACGACGGGAAAGAAAGACGAAGCACTGCAACATTTATCGAAAGATAAAATGTCCACTGTTAATCTAGGTCGTTAAAAGTGCCTGACAACGAGGCTTTAGTGTTTTCTCAATCGTGTTTTGAATCTCGTATTGCATCGGCATCTCCTCTACCATTCAGTCTATAGACCGTCATTGAATGCGTGAAAAGATTCACAAATTTCTGCTTATCATCTAAAACTGCAAGTGTAAGCAACTGAGGCTGGCCCGTGATTGGAAGAGTCCCTACGTTTAGTGACCGCCGAGAACACTTCCGTTTTTATTAGCAAGTCATCATGCGCACACAAAACCTTTCAATTGGTTTAAATAAAATAATATAAATAAATAAATTGACTTAAAATTACGAGCGAAGATCGACGGCATGGCGTATACTCGACCGAAGCTAAACGGCGCTGTGTGTATCTAAATTTACCAGCGGCGGTGAAGCATTTTGAGAGGTTTCTGTCAGATTACCTCGCATTGATGTAGAATGAATCTGGTTTGTGAGTGAAGAAAAATCTCCTCGTCATTTCGTCGACGCAGATTTCTCCTCGAGCGGGAAATTTTCGAAGCAAATCAGGCAACCGTTTGAAGAAATTCTTCTACTTGTTAAAAATATCCACACTTTCCCGAGCAATTGTGAATCAAAAAAGTTATCGTCTTGAAAACAGCTAAAATCCGCATGAAAAATTTGAGTTCCTCGACGTTCACTCGACGTGGAAAATCTCACTGAATAGAGTATCTTCAGGACAAGTTCAAAAATAATGAAAAAAACTGCTATAGAAGCTCTCTCGAAGCGTACCCGCCGTTCTCTAAAACTTCAAGTTTCGAAAAAGTTATTAACGTTTGAAGCATAAGGGGAGGAGGCGAATTTTCGAGACAAATCGCTCCAACGCGTGAGCCGCGCCGCAGACGCGTGAGAAAACAGCTGCTCCTTTAAATTCGATGACTCTTTCATTGCTACGTCCTAAGAATCATTTTTTTCTCATTGCTGTCAATCTTTGTTGCCGTAGCGTTGCATTCGTGTGGAGTCGGTGCTCGTACAATAGTAGAATGTTTTTTCTTCAGGATCTTTGTGTGAATCGTTGTTTAGTGCCGTAGTTGCCGCACAGAGGTGTGTTCTCCGTTCCTATTCATAATTTTTTTCCCGTCGGTGTCAATCTTTGTTACCGTAGCGTGTGTGTACGTGTGAAGTCGGTGCTCATACAATAGCAGAATATTTGTAAAGGGGTATCATATCGAGATCCCGTTTACGGAGTGGTCGTACTGAGAACCCTCTTTTAGGGGGGAGGGTCGTTTCACAGTTGGGATCCCTCAACACGATTTTCACCCTGCTCTCCACCCCCGTCCATGGCTTACATTAGCCCCGATTTTGCCTCAGAGTTTTTTTACGTGTTTTCAAATGCACTGCCATCACGTGCCCCGTATCTTGCGATAACGTCTGAAACTGTATGTCGTCTTCAATATATACCTTATAGCATTTATCATTTTCCATATTCCAGATCCATGGCGAACATGCCCAGAACCAGTCTTCAAACCAATATTTATAATCCGCGGCATAAGGCGAATCTTGAGATAAGGCGAATGGTACCGTCGCGATCAGCACAAACAGAAACATTCTCACTAAATTCAAAAATTTAAGAGTTGAGAGGTCTTCTTTTCACGTGCGGCGTGATACCAAATTACCATGTCATCAGTGGCAGATGCTCTTACCTGATATCATATTCATCTAGATCTTCGGCTTTGGAACATCGAACTATTGAGAAAACGTTAAACGATGTTGTTACCAGTTCAAAGTGTTTCCTACTGAAGGACTGACAGGAGAAACAGCTTTATGACATTCTCTCGTTTCCATCCGTCTATGATTTGTCAATATCTTCTACCGACTTTTGTTTCATTTTGGAACGTTTTTGTTTGAAAGCAAGGCGCTCATGTTCTTGGAAGGACATCCAAATGAGTGAGTCAATTACTGTGCTTGGGGCTAAGCCCTGGAGAGGGGAAACGATCCTCAGGGAGAATGTGAGCAACTTGCGTTTTCTCTTGCATTTCTACCCTACCCTCGGCTTAGTCCTAGCCTCACCTACCATCGGCGCTGTTATGAATGTCTCCCCCTTCCCAAGGACATGAGTGAAGAAAAATTCTCCCAGTGCACCAGTGCTGCTGCAGCGATAATTCAACTCTTGAAAGCACCTAGATCTGCTAAACTTTACTTTTTTCCAGGTGCGCTGCATCTTATGCCACGATTTCCTGAACCAGTCTGCCGTTCCAGAACCGGGCCATCTCCTCTCCCTGGATCAATCTCGAGTATAGGCCAACACTGTTAGCCTGGACTCGAGATGAATTGTGATTGAGCATGTTCGCTTGTTTCCCTCGACTGCGTCGAAACGATGGCCCTGTTTCCTCCCAACATCATAGGGCTACATCGAGTTGGTCCAACACACCAGCCCAATCCAAGTTGTAGCCTCTTGTTCTTTTTGTGATCACCACAGCAATGTCTTCAAGATTTATATGCTTGGAAGTCTATATGCTTTCCTCGGCTATACCTTGAGGCCTTTCACAGTTTTGAACTCTTCTAACGAGCACAGGGTTCATTTTCGCTTGTTTCCATTGATTGCGTAGGAAATTTGGTTTGGTTCCTTTTCGCTATGAACGTGCTGCAGATTGCATCGTCTTGGATTATAGACCATGAATACTCGCTCCGTCAGTGTATTTCACCTCTATCATTTTATCGCCGCACTCTTTTTAGGCGTTGCAGGTAAATTTGGCCGTAATCATTCACTCAAATTCACTGTTACATGTACTGAGGTTGCTCGACTCTACACATCAAAAGGCAAACTCCGAGCTCATCCCTACCGTGGGAGTCGCTTCCCTGGATAGAGGTGTGTGGTCTGCCACCACGGAGTAGCAGTGTCGCTTATCCTTGCAGCTTCTAAGCTCAGCAAAAAGCACTTCCAAAGTAAGACGTCTCACTACCTATTTCGAGATTCAGTGAAGTCCTAGTTCAAGTCCAAAACTCCCACTTAGCATGCTAGCTTTGGATCGCAGGCCGCTCACTCATGGTCAAACCTGAGACTCATTGCTCACTAGCCATACTATTCTCCATAGCTCTCCTCATAATTGAGTGTATGGTACCAAAAGACTAGCGGAAGAAGCCCTAAACTCTCTTGTGAACTAAACTAGACGTCCTAAACTCTCTTCTCCGGTAACGTCTGTGACAAGATTGCAGCTTTGTGGACACAATGTCTTGCTGTGTCCAACAAGCTATCTCATGCGATCACTTCGGCAGAAAGGAGAAAATGATGAGCCTTCCTCGCTGGCTGAGAATGCAGTGGTGACTCGTTCATCAACGGCACGGTTTCTGCACCATCGCCGCTACAGATGACCAGAGTCCCACCCACTGCACGCGCCCGTCATCGTCAGTTCATTCTGCTGGTATTTTATTCGTCAACACCTTCGCCTTGATCAACATATTCTCTCTGCTATAGTATGCCTACGCCGACCACTGCTCTGCACACCACCATCTTCTTCCACTTAATACCGTAATCGTTCTTGCTGTTCAATCACTCTCTGCGACTGCTCGCCACCACCTTCGTTCTCTACGACGTATTCGTCTTCGCCGATGGGTACGACTGGTGGTAGCAGTAGAATGTCTGCGGTTCAGGTTTAGACGGCAGATGGAGATCTATGGAAGTGTAGCTGAGTCGATACGTTTCTTTTTCAGCCAGAAAGAAGATATGTTCGTCTATTCCTTACCTTGAACACTTCACGATTGCCTGTTTAATCTGAAGTTGCGGCCAATTGTTGGTAGCTGTCTTGTCGTAGCTATCTTAGTGCGATCCTTTTGATTTGATAGTCTGATTTTGATTGTCTACGCCCGGCAAAGTGTCGTGGTGGACCACTACTTTTGTGATCTGCCCATCTCACATATTTTGGCTGATTAGAATCTCATTCGCTATTTTTTCCTCGAGTTCACTTACCAGGAAAGGCTTTTAACTCTCCATAAAACTTTGAATAGAGTTCCTTTGAATCGATAAAGGTTCAAACGCTGATCACAAATATGGAGACTAAAACGGCAAAATGAACCTGTCAAGGAAGTTGTGAGCAGTCAAAGTTGGCTAAAGTAAAGCACTGGGTATGAACCGTGCTGCACCCCAGGCTTTAAGAGTCGCCGCGGAGCAGTGGTGGTGCCTTCGCTATTTACCCTGGAGGTCATAAACTTTCCTACCGTTGGAGTGCAAATTCCGAGAGCACAGCCACTACTCCACGGCGAGACTTTGAAAGCCTGGAGGCTAGTGTAAAGCTTCGCTTCCAACCAACTTTGACT